CGTCCACCGTGAGCCCCACAGCCCGAGGAACGGCTGCGTGTCCCGGGAGAAAACTGCTCTGACAAAGCCTTTTCCTCTTCCTCGTCCCCCCAGGCAAGGCCATGGTCTGCTTCGGGAACATGTTCATCGAGCTCCCAAAAGCACAGACCAAGGAGATGCTGCAGAAGGGTAAGGCAGCCTGCCCGAAAGGTTTTGTGTACATGTAGTCTTAGCTGTGATAAGATTTTAGAGAAATAAACAGGGTTCTGTCTAGCGCTGGGCTTCCAAGCGCCCAAAACCTCCCGGTGGCAGTCCCAGGCAGATTCGGCCATCACCATCCCTGTGCCGTCCCAGGCAGTGCCTTGGGGCTCAGCCCCGTGGGCACTGGGGGGGCACGGTGGGACCCCAAGGTGGCTCGAGAAGAGCCCTCCCTTGCCCCCCCAGGCCTGGGCTTCCACACCGAGCATCCCACGGGAGGTTCTGCCTCCTCCTCAGAGCCCGCAGTCCTCCTCACTCCTGTCCCGCTTGTCTCAGACCAGGAACATCTGGATGAGGAGATAAACAACCTCCGGAAAGAGCTGCGTGTGAAGGTCAACCGCCTCTTTGAAGCTCAAGGTAAACGCTCCTGTTCCGGAACCTTCTCGGCCTCCAGGAGCAGATGTCGTGTTGGGGGCGGGGGCAGAAACTGCTGAGCTCCGTGTTCCTGCAGCTGTTTTCCCATTGGCTTTGCAATTCCTTCCCTGCTCCAGCAGTATTGTATGGCTCCTGGTGCAGAGCTGTCGCTGTCACCCACCAGCACGCTAAACGGGCTCCCACATCACGCTGGGGTGACCCCACATCAGCTTCCGGGGCTGTCCCTGCCCTCCCCGCAGCCCCTCTAGAGTTTAAGTGGTCTGCTTCGCTTATTTTGTAGCAAAATCCTGATTTTTTCCTGTGTGTTCTCTCAGGTAAAGCTGAGCTGAAGGGATTTAACCTGAACCCCATGACTGCCGAGGAAATGAAGCTAATCAATCGCATCCTGGAGGGCTGAGGTGACTGTGCCATCATCACAGCGTGTATTTGGGCTGTCACCCACGGAGCTCACGCTGCGATAGCCGCAGCCCTTGAGGCTGCAGAACACTGACGTGCCTGGAGCCCGCCTTGGGCAAGGTCCGTGGCAGGTGCTGGGAAGTGTTTGGCTCCTCAGCTACGGCGCTGCAGTTTCCTTGGATCACAGACTTTTTCCTGCTCCTCGCTGCAGCCCAGGGCGTGGAGCTGCGTGGAGGCATGTGCTGGGACACAGCGATGAGCAAATGCCCATGGCTGGGGTGGAAGTGGGATTATTAAAATGAGAGTAGCAGGGCATTCCTAACGCTGTGTGTATGTTCCTTGTTGGGTTTTTATGTGAGTGCTTCTCACTTCTGGAGTTTGACTTCAGAGCTGGTTCATTGTCGTGTCGGGAACAGAGGAGTAGGAGGAACTGGGAATCAACAGTGCGCTCGACGCACAGAAGAGGAGTTGTGTGCACCTGTGGTATCGAAACAAAGCAAAGCTATACATCCGAAGCATGTCAGGAATCTCTTTAAAGATGTGTAGGGAGGGACAGGGGGAGGCAGCATCCTTTTAGTCTCACTGGGAAAACATGCCCTACTGTTAAGTTGGAAGGCAAGAGAACGCAGAAAGGAGGCTTTCAAAACTAGGCAAAGGAATAAAATGTATGTATATTTAGAAAAAAGCAGCCTAGAGAGGGCTGAGCAGGAATAGTCACTGAGCCTGTCTTGTAGTAAAAGTACAATTGATTTCACCAATAATGGTTTCTTCAAAGGTTTTAACATTTATTGTCTTCTACACTACCCTCCTTAGTCTGAACTTGCTACCCTAGCACAACTTGGTTAAGACCATAAGATGTAAAAAAATGAATCATAATTAGTAATAGACTGCAGTGAGTTTGATTTTTTTTTTTTTCTGTGTACAGTAAAGTGGGTCCTGCGAAGATCTGTATTTTTTGAAATTCTGTAAAGTTATTTCTGGATAGAATTTAAGAACTTTAAACATGGCAGTTGCCATTCTTTGTCCAGCTTTCAAGGTAGCTCACCTGTTCTGTCAAACCTCACACGGCCAACGCAGAGCTGGGCCTGATCTCTCTCTTCCCTTCTGCACAGCCATGCAAAACTAAACACAGCACCGCCGGTTTCCTGGCTCCCTGACTGTCTTCCAACATAACAGGGCAGAGGTGCCTCCTCTAGGCAGCCCTGCGTTGCCTTGTCCAGTTCCACACACGCTTCAAATTATGCAGAGTTCAAAAAAAAATACCCTGTTCTGGACTCCTTTAAAACAGGTGTGATTTTTTTTTTTTTTTAAATCTAAAAAGTCAACTATCATTGCTTGATCTAAGTTTTAAAATTCTATAGCTAACACCACGTACCTTAAATGTACAACTGGAAGAAGCAAGGCTCTCCACTTCAGGCTTAAGTTTCAGACACACAACTTAAAAATAACATGGACTTATTACCTGAACTGTCTTGCCTGTAGCTTTTTCAGAAAATTACATCTCTTCTGGAAGCAAGAGGCAATACAGTGCCAAGTCCCTGTGTTAGAGCCGCACTCTTACATAACCTGTGTAGTACAGCCAGTCAACGTCTCCGTAACATGCGATGGCTAGGTTATTTTTACAGTATCATGGCAACAGGTTTTCTGCTCTGACATGTTTCCATAGTAGTAGCAGTAGGAGGATCAGGTGCCTTCCCTAAAAGCTTTGTTTTGCTGTGCAGAATGTTTTTAGCCCCTTTATTTTCTTACGCAGTACAGAATTAAGCTCTTGTGAGTGCAGATGGACAGCCGAGAAGCCAGATCCCTTGTGTCAGCCATTATGAAATATCTCATTCAAGCCCATTCCAGCTTCCAAGCTGGGAAACCTTCAGAAGCAAGATGGCCAGCATCTTGTACTCAGCCAGCAGTGTCCAGAGAGAAGTGGGAACAGCCACTGCACATTTTGAGGAAGAGAGAGTAAACTTAATCCATGGTGATCTCTCCCATCCCAGGCTTGGGATCAGCATCACACTTTCTCCTGGGCAGGAAGATTCCTGAAAAGCTGCTTCAGTTGTCATTGTAGCAGCCTGCAACGAAAATGTTAGCAGCGGAGTTACACATCACCTTGCTCTTCCTTCCTTTAGAGGGTAGGTTATGTCCCACTTCTGTGTGAAGCAGTAACTTGTGTTTTGTTAGAAACTACAGCAGAGATGATGGTAGGCACACTGAGTTAGTACTTACCATACATGTTAGCCTCTCAGAAGTATGACTTCAGAATCCAAGTACTACTTCCCAACAGTAAAATACACAACTAGCTTCAGGAAAGCACCCAGTAAACAGTCACTGCAATGACTGTGGAGCAGTTTTTGCAGCAGAGTTGGCATATGAAGGACTCTGCTGTGACATAACACTTGAAAAGCAGGATTATGAACAAAACTGTTCCCACTACATTTACATGCTTGTTTTCCACAGTGCTTCTGCAGCCTGGTTGCTTACAGCCACTTTTGGAAAGCATCTGCTCCTTTTGGTCTCTTAATCTCGTAAAAGCCCACACGCCCGTTCTTGTTCTTTTATTCTTGAGTGAAAGGTGTGTGCTTTCCTCTTGCTGATGTACAGATAGCTTAAGGACACGAGCAGGGCAGCCTGCCAACACTGGATGAGTACGCACCTAAATACGTGTTTGCCATGATGTTCTCATTCACTGGAGTACTCAGGTCTCCCCCTCTTCTGACAAGCCTGTCATTCCACATCAGATCAAAATCCCCAACATGCTTTTCCTTCCCCGTCAGCCTACAACATCAAACACACGTACTGAAGTACCTGAGCAATGATGACTATCCATCTGTGTACAGGAATAAACTCCCAGACAATGAGAGACAAAGCTGGACAGCTGAAAGCAGTGGACATCTTTCTACTATTAATATCTGAGGTTAGCACAGTTGCAAAGAAGTCAATCACAAAATGCTGCAAGACAAGCTGCTTCGAACAGAGCGCTCCAGAAGTGGTAAGTGTGGGAGGTACAATGCAGAAGAGCCTCTGAAAGAGAGCTCTTGTGCAAGGCCCAGCTCTGACACAGGCTCCATTCCCTTTGCATCCCTGTGCTGCTTTGTTTTCCCACTCTGAAGTAGCAGTATGGTTGCTTACTTTGCTCTGTTTCTGGAAATTCCATCATTTAATTGCTATAAAGGTTAGAGTATTATCATCATTTGCCAAGAAAGAGATGGAACCAGACCATCCATTCCAAACATTTTAATAAAACCCCTTAGAAGGTAATAAACATCTCTGCCTGCCTGCCCTCCCTGTCCACAATATGAAGTGTGTCTTTGAGTAGATGACACTTGAGTTCACAGTCTTCCTGGCTACTGGCAGTGAGGGAAGGTGAAGCATTCCGCTCCAGAAGCCAGCTGAGGAAATATAACAACAGTAAATTAGGGAGAAACAGGCAGGTTTGCCAATGCTTCATGTAAGAGAAATGCCTGTCCACAAAATCATTACCCTGCTAGCAGGCAGGAGTAAGTGTGAAGCAATAGGAAATCCACCCCTAAATCTCTTTCCCATGCACCGAGCCAAAGAACATTCTGAGCTTATTGCAAAGTTTCTATTCCTGTTCTCGATGGTACTAAAGAAAAAAAAAAATCCCTCTAGCTTCCAGAAAGACATATGAGTGAAAACCAAAGTCTAGCTGAAGCAGTAAATGCTGAGGATAATTCACAGAATGAGCATTAACCCTTTTTTAGTGGCGGAATGTGGATGTCTCATGGGAACAGTTTCCTAGGACAACAGTGTTCAAATAGCTCTCCTACAAGAGCCCAGCAGCGACATCTGAGCACTGTGACGACATCGAGGACTTTCATTCCAATTCATTTGTTTCCTGACCAACTGAAGTTACTCCAGCTCTTTATGTGCAGGCTGTCTAAGCAATAATTTGGTTTGAGGCTATGAAGAGAGTAGATTGTGCAAATTAGAGCTACCCAGGACCACAGCTGAGCTGCATTTATTTGCTCATTTGAAATAAAGCCGTCCCCAGTGGCACTGCGTGAAATATAGGACTGGTGCTGACAGGACACAGGGATATCAGCTACATTTTAATAAAGAGTTAGAGGGAAGAGTTAAAAAAAATAGACTAGAGAATACATTTGGTAGGAGAGCACTGTCAACATACATCATATCTAAGGGAAATTTCCTTACCTATGGTACTGCTTGCACTTCACATTACTAAGGCTGAAAGAATAATAATCCTATCTGCTTGTCATTTCTGAAGTGCTATTTGCTGTTTCTGTTTTTCTCAACTCCTGTAATGACAAGTCAGTTGCACTTTCGAGTTCCTGCTGTTGCAATACTTGGGTTGCATATGTAGCAGATAAAATTCTGAGAATTTCAGCTTAACTTTGATGATATGTATTTTTCAATGAGCCAGTGAGAAAAAGCTGTATTAAAAAAAACCCAAAATCTACAGTCAAATTATGTTTTAAAGGGTGTTTGTTGTTGTTTTGTTTTAAATACCTTGAACTCCTCTGGAGTCCTTTTCTCCACAATTAGCAGGAGGGAGCTCTTTCAGTTGGGATCTGCCTTTTAGCCACTGTACCACAGATGCGGGTCATGTTTAGTGCTGGCAGCCAAATGGCACCGGCTGGAGGTTTATCAATGCTGACGGGGCACTGCTGTAAAATACATAAACAGGAGAAGAGATGATAGTGACCCTCCATCTCTGGCAAGTGCTGTGACACTTGTGATATGCTGATACTTGGAGGGGAACATATTCCAGAAATAGCCAAATTGGCAGAGTTTCACAACAAAGCATGAGACATCCTACAGACAAAGTTTCAGGGTGCCATACCCAGCTAATGAACTCTGATACTCTGAGCAAATACAGCTGTATTTCTTCTGGACACCAGTTCTCTTCATGTAAAATTGTTCAAACCGCTCTACGCTCCGCTTGCAGTTCCAGACTGGCTCACTCTCAGCCAGCTTGCAAGCATCTACCTACAAGATGGAGAAGCATCACAAGACACCCTTGTCCCA